CACAAACACGCCGAAAATTATCGTTAGGGTGATTTTTTCCGGTAGTAGCTGTCCTTCAAATCCGAATATTAAACTGTCTTGACTAGTTTGAGGGAAAGACATAAACGGGAAAAGTCTGAAGAAAAAATTGACTGTCACCACCAGGACTCGAACCAGGGACCCTCGCTTGTAGCTAGCGATGCTCTAAACACTGAGCTATGGTGTAGTCGTCATCCCAGCAGAGACCGTTCAACATTTTCTTCAGACTTCGTAACTCACACTTCCTGTGAATCCACACAGGCGGGTGGGACGCAGCCCTCACTGTACCCCACAGCACGCGGGGAGCCCCAAGTCATTAAACTGTCTCTAGTTATTCCACATTTTCTTGACTACCGTACTGGCAATATATGTTGTCGCGTAACGCGTAACGCAGGGGGGGGGGGGGGGGGGGGGTGCGGCGTAACGCGCGACCAGGCTAGTGCGACAAATTTTCGTTGAGTTCGTAACGCGCGTCCGGCGGGGTGCGGCGATCTTTTCATTGCAGTTTGCACTGCAAAAAAAAAGGCTGAAAACTGTGAAAGCACGTGTACCGCGTGGTGAAAAGTAGTTTTTGGAGGAAGCGCTCTTCCCCTATGTCACTTTCCTTTTGATGATCTTCTTGTGAACAGATCACTCTGATAGTTAAAATATACAGTCTTCTATTGATATCGTTGTCGCCCTTTGCCGTCGGGTTTGTAACAGTTGGATAGCAACTGAATTTCTGTGCCTTCAATGTGGATGAAAAGAAAAAATGATGCGGCAAAAGCAAAAAAATGATGCGGCAATAGCAAAAAAGTGATGCGGCAATAGCAAAAAAAGGACTGCGGCAATATAGAAACCTGTGTAACGGCTCCTGTGCGACCTTGCATGTAACGCCCTGCGTGCGGCAAACATGTGCCAATGTAACGCTTCATGGCCTCACTGCGGCAACATATATTGCCAGTACGGTAGTAGAAGACGTAATCCTAAAAAAATGCCGACCAAGTCTTCTGATCGTGCGCACAACCGTCATCGTTGTTGCTTCCCTGCAGGCCTACAGCTCATACAGCCCTCCTGGTGACAAGGATATCTTCGTCGCTAAGGTGATGAGGCACTTCATACAAACAATGCAAAGGCGTTACGCGTGGCGGCCATGGAGCCGGAGGACCAGGAATGGTGGGTTCCTTGTCATCCGGTTTCCTCAGTGAATCTCTCCCATTCTCTCACTTTCCTCAGTTGCCACTGCAACTCTCTGCAAGGGGGGGGGGGGGAGGGCAAAGAACCCAATATCATACCATACGGCGAGCTCACCTTTCCATACCCCCTCAACTCTCTACAAGGGGGGGGGGGGAGGGGGCAAAGAACCCAATATCATAACATACGGCGAGCTCACCTTCCCATACCGCCTCCAGTGAGTGTCATTTTCCATCCCCATTCGGTATGACTGCTGTCAGTGCGGAACTTCCAGTACACCGTATCACCTGCACGTGTGTGTACGTGTGTGCGTGTGTGAGAGTGTGTTTGTGTGTGTGTGTGTGTGTGTGTGTGTGTGTGTGTGTGTGTGTGTGTGTGTGTGTGTGCGTGTATGTTCAAAAGAATGGTGGATGCACAAATGGATGCACACACAAAGGGAAGCACATCAACAAAGGACATTCCCACGTTGCAAAAGAAAGATAAAAGAGTGCGGGATTCAAACCCCATCACCCCTGTCTTTCCGGGACAGTACAGTACCAACTCTGTTGGCGTGGGAGGGGGGGGGGGGGAGACAAATACCCCCCCCCCCCCCCCAACAAAAAAGTAACCACACATACACCAATGGCCCTCTCTTACAACACCATGATCCAGACACAAAGCAGCTCAAAGCACTTGTCTATAATCAGCAGGAAAGACAACAACAAACAACAAACAACAGCAGCAGCAGCAGCAGCAGGAGCACATTACTGTACCTGGAAAGTCAGCGTCTACCCAGACATCAGATCCGCGTCCAGAGTATTCACGTTGGTGCTGTGTGTGATCCCGTGAGGAAGACAAAGTCAGAGTGTCACAGCCTTCCTCCGTAGAACACCTACATACACGGCACATGTACACACATTGACACGCATGGACACACATGGACACACACGCACACGCATGTACACGCATGTACACGCATTGACACGCATGTACACACACACACACACACACACGCACGCACGCACACACACACACACACACACACACACACACACACACACACACACACACACACACACACACACACACACACACACACACACACAAGCACGCACATGCACGCACACTCACACGTACACACGCACACACACACGCACGCGCGCACGCGCACACACAGAGATGAGCGGATACAACAGAGAAACATGAGAACACAACCAGAAGGGATCAACACAGTATTTAAAGTTAACATGCTTTCATACAAGTACATACACACAGATGAGCGCTCGTACGCACGCACACGCGCCCGCGCACACACGCACACACACACACACACACACACACACACACACACACACACACACACACACACACACACACATACACGCACACATGTATACACACACACACACACACACACACACACGCGCACGCACGCACGCCCGTACGCAACCACACACACACACACACCCACCTCAGACCTCACCTCACCTCAGACATGCCCATCGCGGAAGCGATGATAGCGTACAGCTATGTTAGACATAGCAACTTGTGCTGGGATTACACCATTCAACAGCTTGCAAGGCTGATGAATTGACTGCCACTATTTTTTAGCCTAACACCCACACACCCACACACCCACACACACACACACACACACACACACACACACACACACACACACACACACACACACACACACACACACACACACACACACACACACACACACAGAACCATGATCACTACTTACTGGTTGTCAAATGACACGTGAACAGATGTTGCTCCATCCAGGGTGATTTGTCCCTGCAACGGAAAACACAACACACACACACACACACACACACACACACACACACACACACACACACGCGCGCGCGCGGACACACACACAGCAAACACGGACACACGCACGCACAGTCATAAAACAGTGGTGTATATTGGTACTATTCCACCACGCCAGGTGACTCGTGAAATGGCTATAGGGCATATGCTCCATAGGCACACTAGCCAGACTTACTCTCGCAAAAAACAAACCCTAACCCTGCTAAAACCCAACGAAATCCAGTCAAGCACCACTCCAGTCAAGCCCTATTTCCTTCGGCTTACTAAACTCAGCTTAATCCCACTGATTTTGGCTTGAAAATGTGTGGCAACATTGAAAAAATCCACCCGAGGCCCACTGAAGGTGGCTTGTCAAACTCAGCTAAATCCAGCTAAAACAACCCCAAAACCCGGCTGGTTTGAAGTGGTTTTCCTTACGGTTTCGTTCATGTTGTTAGAGTACTTGTGGTCTGACTGGGCCGTCTTCTTCTGCATGACACAGCTGCGCATGCACTGGCAAGCTGCCTGGCAGAGTGGAGACATGTGACATGGCTCGACGTGCTTCACTGCTTCACACAACACCTGTACACACAGCATACAGGTAGAGCAACAGATGACAACAGCAACGACGACGACGACAACGGCGGCGGCGGCAGCAGCAGCAGTAGCAACAACGACAACAGCAGCGGCAGCGACAGCAACAACGACAACAGCAGCGGCAGCGACAGCAACGACGACAACAACAGCAACAGAAACAGCAACAATGACAGGACGTTTTAGGAAAGACATGGTTTTTAAACTTGGCATAATAGCAGCTAATGACAAGAGCGGCGGAGTTTAGTTATAAACCCTGCCACTAACACACTTTCCAAATTGAAATTCACTACACAATTTCTCCCACTTCATTGAAGTCGAGTTGCCTGCCATTGAAGTCGAGTTGTCACTGCCTTTTGCAAGCCCAGTGTTGGCTGAATAGACGGATCCCCTTCTAAATCTGGGTTCGAGCACGGGGCGTAACCTCTCTCGCGATCGAGCTGCTTTCGAACGTAACAGCATCCTTGGCAGTGTGTTTTCAGGTTTTGCTTTGGAACGTCTTCAACTTAGTTAAACCCTCAAGAGTTTCTCATGTACATGAACCAGTCAAAAAGGCAGTGAGACAACACAACCTCAATGGACTGAGTCATGAGCCCAATCAGCAGGCACTGAATTGGATAAGAGCGATATTAAACTAAAGAGAGAGAGAGAGAGAGAGAGAGAGAGAGAGAGAGAGAGAGAGAGAGAGAGAGAGAGAGAGAGAGAGAGAGAGAGAGAGAGAGAGAGAGAGCTGTTTTCCATTATCCTACGTGTGTGTATCAGGATAGCACACACCAATACCATGGAGAGTACAGTACATGTACCTACCTTCTGGAAGGTAGACCAGGGAAGCGAATCGTGCAGCAGTTCCAGTAGGGAGTACATCGAGCTCTCCTCACCGGCCTGGAACAGCTGTGTCACCAGCTTGAGTTCGCTGGGCCAGTGTGCCAGTACTTCTCCGAGAAGATTGCGTGCATGCAGTATGGCCACAGCTGATTGCCACTACGCACACAGACGCATCCACAAGACACACACACACACACAAACACAAGACAGAGACTCGGATGGAGAGCCAAGGATTAATTTATATAGCAAAGAAAGGGAGCAATCGCATGAGCTTCAAGGAAACCTAGGAAAATTTCAATGAAACCTAGGAAAATTTCAATGAAACCTAGGAACATTTCAATGAAACCTAGAAACATTTCAGTGAACTCGGCATAAATTTCATCAAACCCCGGGGAAAACATTGTGAAACCAGGCTAAATGGCAGAACTCCAGTACGGCTCTCCTCTCTTACCTTCAGTAGGTCCGTTCGTGATGCGGCCGTGTCGGCTGGTTTCTTGGCAAGCTCGGTCTTGAGCAGTGCTTTGGAGGCTGTACGCCGTACCTTGGACACAAGCTGAAATAGGAATGCAAACACACACACACACACACACACACACACACACACACACACACACACACACACACACACACACACACACACAGCATGTACAGTACAGTGCAGCCCACAGAGTGTACCATGAAATCCGAGTAAATTTCCAACACACGGAGACTCCCCTGATTTAGGCTAAGGCCAGTGGAAAATTCATAAACACAAAATACAGAGAAAAAATGAAACTAAACGAAAACTTGCAAAACCAGGGTATTGCAAACAGAAACCTAAATTGCAGCTGCCCGGAAAAAAACATTTTCAATGTGGGAACGTTTACGAATCACATTATACACTAGACTTTTCCCATTTGCGTTTTTCCGTCAAACCAGTGAATATTTTATACGTTATTCGCATTTCATGATTGTTACATAGCATTATGTTGGCATTATTTGTTCTATTTATCGCATTGTGGAAACCCCTTCTCATGCTACAGAAACTTGGATAATAGCAATGCAAGCAAGAGCAAAACAGTGTGAACACAGGAAGCATGTTTGCTTGAGAAAAGTCTTGGCTGACATTCCCGAAATGGAAGCACAGCGAGGCTTTGCTTACATCTCCATTCTCTGCGTCGCCCTTGTTGCTAGGAATGAGCAGCTCCAGTGCATTGCTCACTTCGATGTCCTCACTGACGGCTTTCAGTGTGCTGGATATGACAGATAGACAGACAGATAGACAGACAGACAGACAGACAGACAGACACGTATGTACACACGTACATACATACGTACACACACGTACGCATACACACACACGTACACACACACACACGCACACATGTACACACTTACACCCACACACATACACACGCACACACACGTACACACACACGTACACACACACGTACACACATGTACACAGTGTTAAATACTGCGTCCAAGTCACACCCAGATCTACAGTACCAGTCTACAACCAGAGTGTACTGGAAAACGAGTGTACAATGGCATGTACATTTCGTCTTGAACATAACAAAGTTTTCAAATTCGTCAAACGTTACAACTAAATGTTCGTAAATGTTAGTGGTTTTACAGTAGCTCAGGACAATGGTGATAGCTCTAGACAATGGTGACAGCTCAAGGCGATGGGGATAGCTCATGGCGATGGTGATAGCTCAAGGCGATGGTGACAGCTCAAGGCAATGGTGATGAGATTAAATGTCAACCTACCTGGTCTCCTCGGTTGAGGGGATGAACGGGATAAGACCAACATCGGTCAGGCCGTCGCCGCGCGTCTTCGGCTTGATAATCTTGGGCTTGGGCTCCCTGTGATGGAGAAGAGAGCACACAGAGTACAGCACAATGTACACTACACTGCTCAGGATTATAGCCAGGAAACAAATTGTGGGGGGAGGGGGGGGGGGGGATAGGGTAGGGGAGACAAACAGTTCACACAAGTTTTCCATGTTCCGCTATTTTTTTTTACTAAAAAATGAAACACAGAACACCTGGAACGATAGTTTAGTGGCCGTATTTTCGCTGTGTGAAATGAGTTAGCACGAAAATCGAAAACCAGTTACCGTCCCTGATTTTCCACCCATGAAAGGAGGTCTGTGAAAAACAACTGATTTCACAGTTCAATCTCAGCCCAACCAAGGCTGAATCGATAATTTCAGGACGGTAACCCTCGTAAGACATGTCTGATGAACACGAATCCACAACGGCCTAATGGTCGAACATGCCATAATGCATGAGGTTGGCGTTCATCGCGTTTTGAAACTAAACCCTTCACATGTACTCACCATCGTTTTGCCATCTCCTTGATCTCATCACTTGCAGACAAGTTGACAGAGTCATCATCAAATCTACCAAAATACAGAAAATACACACACACACACACACACACACACACACACACACACACACACACACACACACACACACACACAAACACACACACACAAACACACACAAACACACGCACACACAAACACACACACGCACGCGCACGCACGCACGCACGCACGCACGCACGCACACACACACACACACACACACACAGTACAAGAATAGTTTTAAAATATTAATTACTGACCTTGTGATACAAACCCTTCACAGTGACTCCACCACAGTTTTGACCGCGGCGCTCTAATAATTATTAGCATTTCTGGCTGGACGTTCTTGGGCTCCGCATTCTTCAGCGCGCGAATCTACTGTATCACGAAAAAGTTGACCCAGCCACTAATTAGTGCAAAGCGGGGTTTTCGTTAATAGCGTTCATTACCAGTCAACTACTGTAATTTCACAAATTTTCGGTGTACTTTTATTTTCGGTACTTTCGGTGTGTCTGTTTCATACCTAAAATTTCAATACACCGAACAAACACTCACACACATAATCCAATAGGGAACTGCTTCTCTGTACCGAAAATTTCTGTTCACCTAATCTGGCCTGTTGCCCTCATACCGAAAATATTGAGCACCGAAAATGTCTGAAATTAGAGTATCCCATTCGGCCGGGCCGCCTGAAATCATGGTGCTATGTCCCTAAGCTATACAATACGCATACATGTACAAGTATGCCACGTGAGAGATTATAAAGAACCACCATGTGCAGTTTCAAACTTACAGCGCTCGCACGGCATTGATCATAGCTTCACAATTGCGATTGTGCTTCTCGTAGATAGCTCTCAGGATGGATAGCTTTGTGCCAAACGCATCGTGAACAGTCTGAGACAGAGACAGAGAGAGAGAGAGAGAGAGAGAGAGAGAGAGAGAGAGAGAGAGAGAGAGAGAGAGAGAGAGAGAGAGAGGGAGGGAGGGAGGGAGGGAGGGAGGGAGGGAGGGAGGGAGGGAGAGAGAGAGAGAGAGAGAGAGAGAGAGAGAGAGAGAGAGAGAGAGAGAGAGAGAGAGAGAGAGAGAGAGAGAGAGAGAGAGCAGCTGATGAGACACACTGGGGAACATTGTGAATCAACTAACTTGGAGGCGCAGTACCTAGCTGAAGAAGGCACTGTCCCTGAAGCCTTTGTCTTAGCCGAAACCAGACATGAATGCAACCGTTTTACTCACAGATGCGCGTAGAGCTCAATTCTGAGTAATATACGAGCTGTTCTTCTTATTTAATATTATTAGTTGACTGTCTTACCAGTATGGTGTCTTTGCCATCCTCAGCAATGCCATCCAATGGGTTTTCACCTTGCTCCAAGTCACTGTCGTCATCATCGTCACTGCCATCTTTCTTCTCTTTCTCCTCTTCCTTCGTGTCTTCCTCCTTCTTCTTGTCTTCCTCTTCTTCCTTCTTGTCTTTCTCCTCTTCCTTCTTGTCAGGGCTGCTAGTCGAACTGCTGGCTTCGTCGTCATCGTCTTTTTTGGCTTCCAATGACGCCGCCACCGAGTGTTCAGTCTTGTCATCTTGCTCCTTGTCGGTCTTCTCAGCACTGTCCTCCGGACCGCCGTCGCTAGTTTGTGCATCGTCTGTTTGCTTGGTGTCATCTTCTGCACCACTGACAGCCGTTGCTGCCGATGCTTCGTTGGATGGGGCATCGGCGGAAGCACTTGGGTCGTCCTTCTTTGCTTCTGTCGATTCGTCTGCTTTCGACGTTGTCTCGGTGGCAGTGGCGGTGGTGGTGTCCTTGAGAAGGGACGGCTCAAACAGGCTGAAACACAACAGCTGCACGGCAAGAAATAAACACGCACACACAGATGCATAAAAACGTAACACACATACACATACACACACACACACGCACACACACACACACACACACACACACACAGGCTGAAACTCACAGGCACATGCTCATACAGACAGACAAGATTAATGGGGGAGACAAGGAGTTGTCGTTACAGATCGCGATGAATATAATGAATAAAGCGAATGTTTGGAGGGTAAAGGTTAATGCATGTGACATCATACACTGGGTTGACAGGCACATGTACGCGGTCCCGTCCAGGCCCACCGCTCACAACAACATAGCAAACGACATGATGCTTGGGCAGCAGACCGTGAACGCTCTCAACACACACTGGCAGTACAACAACTACCAACAACTACCAACAACTACCAACAACTACCAACAACTACCGTCCCTTCCCGCCTCCCGCATACATGCACACAAACATGCACACAGGCAGACAGACACACACGCACGCACGCACCCACAACCATACACACATGCTGGACAGTTGCAACACTGTGTGACCTGGATGGCGTAACCCCCCCCCCCGATACATCCCAACCAGACATACCCATAAATAGAGAAATACCCCACGCCCTTTGGAAGACCTACCCACCCCAATAAGGAGCCTGTCCCCTTCCATATACATATACATGACTATTGGATAGCAGACTAGGTCTGCCCAAGAGAGGGCAATCACACAACAGGTCCAGTGGAACCAGTTCGGTCGGTCTGCCCATGGCCGGACCAACTTTTCGGCCACAAACGTGAGTGTTTACTGCAAAGGAGGTCATGTGTATACCCTCCAAATCATGCACAACGTATGAAAGGCCATCCTCTGCTACCAGTGTAACAGTGTAACCATCCTCTGCTACCAGTGTAACCGGTCAGGACTCGATTATAGGAGAAGAGAGCGATTCCAAGCAATACAGAGGATAATGAAGGATAGAACATGAGAAGGCTGCAGTGGAAGACGGTGTGAGGGTGATGCAGTGAGAGATAGCACGGGAGAAGGGAGCGAACTGTCACACAGGGTATGGCCGGACCAATCAATATCTGCTTCCACCAGTCCTGCACAAGCGTGAGCTCGCGGAGAGCAATAAGTTACATACCTCTAGATGTGGCAGGGTCCAGGACGTGCTGAGCGCCGTGCCACGACCGGCCAGCTGCACTAGCGCGCTGATGAGATTGCGCTCGATGAGCATGCCGACGCGCTGCTCGACCGTCTCGCCGAGGCAACGGCCATGCTGTTTCTTGCCGCCCGGGTGCTGCTGATCATCGGATGACGAGCTAGCAGTGGCTGACCGAGCCAAGCCAGCGGTCGCACTATCATCTCCGGCGTCGGCGTTGCCAGTAGCATCAGCTGAGAGGGAACCGGTAGTTGGTGTCGTGGTGCTGGTGCTAGTGACACTCGACTGGCTGCTGGAGGGTGTTACGTCGCTACAGCTACTGGTAGCGCTCGGCGAGGGCGACATGCACGACTGAACGTGGCCGGCCATTTTGCTCAGCGTCGACACGGCACGCGCGGCAGTCGGAGAAGTGGGATCCTAGACACACAGACAGACATAGCCAAGTGCACATGCACATATTAAAGAACAGCAGCAGCAGGAGCAGCAACAGCACCAGCATCAGCAGCAACGACAACGACAACGACAACGACAACGACAACGCCAACGCCAACGCCAACGCCAACGCCAACGCCAACGCCAACGCCAACGCCAACACCAACACCAACACCAACAACAACAACAACAACAACAACAACAACAACAACAACAACAACAACAACAACAACAACAACAACAACAACAACAACAACAACAACAACAACAACAACAACAACAATTCTCTTATTGGCGATGGTGCCATCGTGAGAATAAAGAATTCAAACAACAACATTAACAACAACAACAACCCTCAGCCAGTAACCTCATTCTGGAACTGATACTGCAACTAGCCGTGCACCACTGCCAAGTGACCAGAAGAAAATCCCACAAAAAGACTACACCCACTCGTCCCTGGATGACGAAGGATTCCTCAGCGAGATCAAAACAAAGCACAAACAGTTCCGCACCTACCAGGCGACCCAATTAGACTCGGACTGGAAACTCTACACAGCTCAGCAAAACCAAGTAACAGCTCCTTTGCGACAGGCTAAGTCCGACTTTGTCCAGCAAACAACGTCGACGGGGACAAACCTCAACCGTCTACTAAAACATTTCACGAAAGCGCCTAAGCATACAATTCCCACACTATCGACAGCCAACAGGGTAGATGCCTGCACTCTGTGACAAAACATCTGGGTGCAGCTTATACTCCAGTGCAGCTGATACTCCGGAAAACGCGGTATCTCCCCCCCCCCCCCCACACACACACTTGCGCATGATGACATAAATAGGCATGACACTACATTTGTAGCGTACCTGTACACAATTCACTACAGCCTTGAGAACCAGAGATAGGACTACGGCACTTTCCACGGATGATAGACCATCTGTGTGTGCAGAGAGAAATACAGCACAGTTGCATGCACACACACACACACACGCACACACGCACACACACACACACACACACACACACACACACAAACACACACACACACACATGCACACACACACACACACACACACACACACACACACACACACACACACACATACACACGCGCACACACACACGCACGTGGAAAACACACACAATGCTGAACTAAAATCCTAAAACTCACACAGCAAACGCGTCGAGAAGCAAACAAACAAACATACACATGGGCACAAACAAACACCCATGAACACACACCCATACACCCATACACCCATGAGCACAAACACGCACGCACGCACACACACACACAGATACGCAGATGCAGCATAGAAGAGAGCACGCAGCTGGAAAACAGTGGCTTACGTGTACCTAATGCAGCCGTGGGAAGCAAGCTCTCCAGTAACTCAACTAGCTTGGGGAAACAACTGGTATCGACGGCATAGTTGCTGATATCCTCGACAATACAGTCTTCCTTAACCTGTACAGCAACATCACACATGGCATGGTCATGTGTCAGTCAGTATGCATTTAGACTACAGTAAAACCTGTGACTAACGACCACCCCCTGGGGCCAGAGAAAGCGGTCTTTAGTAGCAGGTGGTCCTTAGTTAGAGGTTTGCACCACGCAACCATGATATGAATGTGAGACCGTCCGTGCCTGGCGGAGTGGTCGGTAGTACCAGGCTGGTCGCTAGTCACGGTGGTCTTTAGTTACAGGTTTTACTGTATACAGAGGCTATGATGTGACATGATGCTCATGTCTAATCACGTGACTACATGCATTACGTCATATATTTTGCCTGTATGTTACGTCACAACCAGCATGCGGCACCATCTTGGATACTAGTCGCCTCAAGTGCAGCGCATGCTTGGCTTGACCCTGTTGTCTGTTCTTTTACTGGTCTTTTTCACAAGAAAGGGTTTGCTCCCCACACCGGAGCTCGTGATTTTCCGCCGACTTGACCCTTGACTGACTCACGACTGCCATCCAGAGCACACGGGAAGTCCATCTTAGTCTTTCTTACAAATCATCGCCGAAGTCGCAACCACTACCGTAAAGTCTTGTATAAAAGCCGCGGCTTCTATGACTTTCTTGGTGAAAATGTTCAGGCTTCTATATGAGACAGGCTCTATACAAGATAGGTATTTCTATGTATGTCAACACTAAAACCAGGCTTATGGGTGATTTGATGGGCCCAAAATTGCGGCTTCTATTCAAGTGCGGCTTTCATACAAGACTTTACGGTATTTCGTTTCGTCTTCTTCACACCTGCGTCTAAATTAAGGTTGACCGTGCGCAGTACAGTGTCGTGTACACTCACGTGCACTCCAGCACGAAAAATGACACTCACGAACAAGACTTATAATTTAGTGCAGTTGCATTGCGGGAGATGTGTACGATGGCATGTTCTTGAAAAGGAAGAAAAAAAAGAAGAAAAAAATCCTTCGAGCCGGATTCGAACCAGCGACCTAAAGATGACTGCACATTCATTGATGCGCACACTACAGTCTTCCGCTCTACCAACTGAGCTATCGAAGGAGACATTTCTCACACAGCAACAGTCAGCATTTGGAGTAGGGGGCTGCCGGTGGAGCACGAAGCACGGTCCAACGTAGTTCGCGTACTGGCATTGGACGAACCAGGAATGCTAGGGCTGTGGCTGTCATTCCCAATGGAGCAGCCAGGGTGGAAATAGATGATAGGATAAAAATCAATAACATGCAACTACAATGGGGGATGAGGGGGGTGATCTCGACACATACTAGTAACCTCCCAAGAGTGTGCAACTCTGCATATGGGGTCTCCGACGGCGAAAACTCATATCAAGTGTCTCGGGTACGTTTCGTACTACGTACAAACGAGAGATAGCGTGTGCGCAATCCAAATATCTGCCATATCATGCTGGCGATTTGCATATGCGCAGTGAGTTTCTGTCAGAGAGTGTTTTTCTTATTACTCCGCTGCTCGCTAGAAACGGGCTGGAAACGTACAACTGCGACACTACACCACGTGATGTGAGTTTTCGCCGTTGGCGTACCCCATAGAAAGGGTATGAGGAGTTGCACACTCTTGGGAGCTTATATACTCTTGCTGCAATGTGTACACGGTAGACCCTGAGCGCTGCAGGAGCACAGGTCATTGCGTTCTACAATAGGCTGCTGTGCACTAGAGTTCTGGGAGTGCTGCTTGGATTTCATGAACATGACACGACAGGCCGTGCATGTGCACTGTAGAGTTGAGGGTTCGCCGCTTGGATTTCATGTCAGACCAGGTGCATGTACCGGATTTCCCCCGATTATAAGTTGCACCCCCACTTTCACGTCTGAGCAATATCGTTTCAATATATTCATATAAGTAAGTGGTCATACTCAATTGGAAGTGGTATCCCCTTCTTACCTCGCTGCGTTTATCATTAAAAAAGGCGCGACTTATATTTGGGGAAATGCGGAGTCGTAGTACATCAAGCAGCTTGGTTCACATTCCACGCTCAAGAGTCAATACATATTCTGTCTAGGGCTAGCTCGACTAGCAATGGAAGTGTGGCGAGGTCTGTGCGGTACGTACCGTGGACTTGAGGCGTGTTTCGATGTCGACGACCTCCATCACACACTTGTCAGCGTCGTAGCTAAGCACGACAACTTGTCGACCTTCCTCGTCGGACACCATGGGTGACTTCTTCCTGCTGTTCCTGCCCTTCTTTGCGACGGGGTCGTTAGACGGAATGTAGCGGCATAGCATGCCGGCACGGTGCACCTGTGTCGGGTGTGTGTAGTGTAGTGTAGTGTACAAAGGACGATACACACACACACACACACATGCACACAGACATGCACACAGACAAAGACACAGACACACACACACATAAAGAGACAAAGACACACACACACACACACACACACACACACACACACACAGTGATAGACACACAGTGACAGACACACAGAGACAGATACAGGGACAGGGATAGAGATACAGGCACACACACAGGCAGGCAGCCAGGCAGGCAGAACATGCAGGTTAGCAAAAGCACAAATAGCCGAGCACGACATGTGCCATACATTCTGGAAACGAGAAGACATGTGGTCGGCAAAGTGCAAACTCCCGGACAGAAAGCATCAGATCTTGCTTTCGTGCTGCACTGCTGTTGAACTATATCAGACTGCGTGCACAGTGGCGAAGTGTTAGATGTCATGGATAAATACAGGACGGACAACATGTTACGAGTTACGACCAACTGATTCTTTATTTATCCATGATAACATTGGCTCAGCATCCGTATTAGATATCAATGAGCAATAGTAGTACAATGTACTACTCACATAGGGCAGGCCGGTCAGCACGGAGATACCAAACAACGCCGTGATGTCCACGGTCTGCACAGAGACAGCAAGCAGAAATACAGGAGATGGTAAACAGTTTTTTATAAGAAGAAAAGAGGCCCAAGGAACTACAAGTTACGCTATAATGTCCACTAACACCGCCACTTGTTACTTGACAATCAGCTCATGCGATAGTATTGCACGACACTGACCAACGGTACTGACGTTCTACAACTAACTGGCAATTAGCTCTAGCACATCTATGCAGACAGTTTAACTAATGTAGACAGTTTCCACACCACACCCCCCTCTGCATAGAGGTGACATAACTCGCATCCCTTTTTTTGGCGCTACACTCTGCGTAACGCCATGGCACGCGCGCTCACTTCAGAGCACAGTGCAATGCTAATGGCGCGCTACCTTCTGCTGCTTCTTCTCCGTGATGTGCTAGTTGCACCTTCTCTCTCTCTGTCCCCCCCCCCCCCCTTCTGCATACTAGGTGACATAATTCGCATCTTTTTTTTGGCGCTATACTCTGCGTATATATACTGCTCTTGTGTGGCTTCCACGGTATTCATTGTTATTACCTGGCGATGGCCAAGTGCCGAAACGTTGTATTAAAATGGAATGGTTCAGATTCGCAGAGAATTGTGGAATGGGTGAGTTCACCCAATTGTGTAAATAGTAGACAGTTTTGCTGAAAGTTTTAGAGTTACAGGTACAGGGATTATCAAACAGCATTGGCTATTTCATCATCGCTCTGAGAAGGTTTATGAATGGTTAGCTGGTGTGTGTCAGTGTGTCAGTGTGTCAGTGTGTGAATGTAACTGCGGGTCGACACCATTGGGTTTGGCCAGGACAGGGAAACACACGCGCACGCATGCATGCACACACACACACACAAACACACAAACACGCGCACGCGCGCGCGCACACACACACACCTGCATTCGCATGTGTGGCAGACCAACAACAGTTTTACAAACAGAACAACATTCTGTACGAAGAGCGGCAGACCAATGGTGAATGACACGCTGCCAGCGCAACAGCTGCAAACGAACAAACTAATGACAAGTGTGACCATTCAAGTACCTGCTTGATGGACATAGTGGAGAGTTTCTCTAGGCAGGATGACATATAGATGGATGTGGGCTGTCGCCACACGCCCGTACTGCACGTATGCTGCAACAAGTCAACGATTAGAGCAGCAACTTCCAAGTCAGAGCTGCACAACAACACCACCACCGACACAGACACAGACACACACGCATATACATCAGACACAAACACATCAGAGGAAGATACTCAATGTGCGACGAGTGGCACCCACACACATTGCGTGCGTGCGCATGCGCGCGCACGTACACGCATGCACGTACACGCACATGCACACGCACACACACACACACACACACACACACACACACACACACACACTCACACACACACACACCCACACCCACACACACCATTGGACCATTGGACGCCCATCACAGGAGGCGATGATAGCGATGCTACAGCAGAAGCCATAGCAGCTTGTGCTGGGATTGTACCATGCAACAGCTTGCAAGGCTGAAGCATTGACCGCCACTATTCAGCCTGGACACTCTACACCACACAGCTATGAAGTGGCTTTTTCTGGCCAGTGAATCCCTACTTTTTGGTCTTTTTCATTTTTTTGACACACACACATCACACCACATACTCCGGCATGCACTGGCTGTTGGTAACCACCCAGGAGAATGAAAGAAAAGTCAGGTGGAGTCTGAGAAAGAGAAGAAAGACGGGTGTGACCATAATCGTCGGGAATCGAACCTGCAACCTATCGATAGGAAATCGCTGCACATACCACTGCACCATATGGGACACACACACACACACACACACACACACACACACGCGCGCGCGCGCGTGCGCGCGCACGCACATGCACGCACACACGCACTGCACGCACACTACTTACTTCTTCATTCGCTGCGTACCAAGAGCAAAGAGGTAGGCGATGGTGGCCATTCCTGGCCCACTGCTGATGTCTACGTCCATCTCCTTAACGTCCAGTAAGGCCACAGCATCATCCTCGACCTTGTCATTCTCTGCCAGCCGTGATTTATAGATACTAAGACTTTCGTCACACAACTACACATGGGATGAAGACAATGACGAGGAGACCACGCAGCAACAGAAGCAGGAGAATGACAAAGATGAGGGCAAGGATAAGGATGCCAACAGCATACCAACAACAGTGACAGCGGCAACAGCAATAGCAGCAGCATCAGCGTCAGCAACAGCAGCAGCAGCAACAGCAACAGCATCAGCATCAGCGTCAGCATCAGCATCAACAACAGCAGCAGCATCACCATCAGCATTACCAACACCATCAGCATTAGCAGCAGCAGCAGCAGCAATGTCTAGTTCTAATAGTTGTTCTAAACAAAGAAGATACCCGGCAGGAAGGTCATCGCAAAGAATACCTCTGCCAATACACTAAACACTGATTTCGCCTCAACTGAACACTGCAGTCATTCCACCTTCATCTCTTTAGTCAAGCTCTCCACAAGCAATCAGTATGTTATTCAGACACATCAGCTAAGTAGTTGAATTCTATGCAGCTCCTGGCTACAAGCAAACCCAACCACAGGCAAAACTACCCATGGGAGAGTTAGACCCCTTCACCCAACCAAACCTAGCGCACACAAGGGGAAGGACAACAATGTTCAGGCGCGTGCGCCGGTGCCCTTCAAGGGGGGGGGGGGCGGGGCCTCCCCCAGGAAAATTTTCAAAAAATGAAGCAAAATCCTGCATTTTAAGCGAAAAAAGGGGGCTCCAGGCACCCAGGAACCCATACGGGGCACGCGCCTGATGTTCTACCTACTCACAGCCGTACAGACAAGGGCACACTCCATCCAGGCCGGGTGGAACCGGTCAGACTGGTCAGGCCATGGCCGGACCAACTTTTTGGCCACCAACCTGTGTTTACTGCTGGGCAGGTCATGTGTAGCCACCATGTCATACAGTATGAAAGGCTGGGGTATGGCCGGATCAATCAAAAACTCTTGCCACCGATACTGAAATCCCATACTCCAAGACATGGCTTCATACTGCAGTCCTCACCTCTGGCTTCAGCAATCCTAACAGGCGGCCCAGCAGAGCTAGTGCAACGTTCTGCACAATGAACTTGCCAAGAGCCGACATGCTGTGTGTGGAGAGAGAGAGAGAGAGAGAGAGAGAGAGAGAGAGAGAGAGAGAGAGAGAGAGAGAGAGAGAGAGAGAGAGAGAGAGAGAGATCAGAAGGGCAGCACAGTCAGCCATTATCAATATTCCTAACACCACTATACCCCAACTCATTGAACCCCACAACCACCATCACCACCACTCCACAACACACTCTCGACTGACCCAATCCACTTGCACATCACCACCATGACCGCTTTAATTAATGCGCTTCCCGAATCCCTTCGCACAAATCATATCCCCAATTCATTTCGCCAGGAACTTAACAATTCATTCCCCTTGGGCACCCTGTAAGAAGACCTTCGGGTCTGTTGGGAATGCCCAAGTAAAATAATAAAATACAATACAAAATACAATACCATAGTGAAGATGGTTGAGACAATGATAATGTCAGACGCTCCAGACAGCTGTTTTGCGGCTCCAACAAAGTGCATCAGTGGAGGTAGTAGATAACCAATCTGCGGTCCAGGAATGATGTTAATTCAAAAGGGCAAAACTGGCGCAACACTTCAACATCCTAGGGCATGCCCACTATGTAGAAAGTGCACAATTATGCCAGTTGTGCTCTATGTCGCATTATTCCTGTGCCTCAAATTAATTATCTACTGCCTCCACTGATGAGCTTTGTTGGAGCAAAACAGCTGTCTGGAACATCTGACAATATCATTGTCAATGGGATTACCCACATACTTGAACATCTGCACGCACGCACACGTACACACGCATGTACGCACGCACGCAGGGACGCACGCACACACACACACACACACACACACACACACGAGAACCCGCACACAAGCACGCATAAGCGCATGCACACACTGCACACACCCACACACATGGAAAATACCTGGCGAGAGCAAAGAGCGCTGGGAGCAGTTCCGTCCGCAAGAATACCTCAAACTCCTCAGCGCGTTCACCTTGCTCCGTGCCTCCCCAGAGTGAAATCTAGCCGGAAAGCAATAGTGTCAATGATGACGAGAGTGATAGTAGCGATAGCAGCCACAACAACAACACGTGAAAGATCAGTTGGTGACTAAAGGTCCAGCTACAGGACAACATGGATGCAAGTTATCATTCAACCTGTTTGTTATTATTCACACCTACATGTATCCGCAGGCAGGCACAGTGGGTTGGTCTAAGACCATGATTGAGAAATGAGAGGTACCAACGTTCAAGTCCTGCTTGGAAGCGGAAGGATTTTTTCCAACCGTGCTTTAACCCTTTACAGTCCATTCAGAAAAAGATGGACTTCTAGCTTTTGGCCATAAATGGGTCAAGCTTTGAGTTTTTTTAGAATTTTTTCTGCAATCCCCTATAGAATCCTCTTCCAATTATGTTTCTGAAGTTTTTTTGTCCAAAAAGCAAGCCATAACAAGAATAGAATTTCGGCCAGGTTTTGCCCCAACAGCACTGAATTGGGAAAAACCATACAAATCCAGGCCGTTTGACCCCGCCTGCAAACGTGCATTGTGCGGTTCGAACCCCAGTTCAGGTACCCTTTTTGGACCCTTTTTCAAATTTCAAATTTCGCAGCACTGCACTGTGTACGATGAAATCACGAAAAATCGCCAAATACGGGAGCTCGCCAGAGCCAGAGCCCATCTTTTTATGAATGGACTGTAGGGCCCACAATTATTTCAAGAAATGCACTGCATACGCGAGCCCGGGTACTTATATGGTCGTTACTTTGGTGTCCTTTGGCCGATTTTGGTGATCTTGGGCTTTCTGGAAAGCTCTTGGCCAGAGGAACACAGCAATACCCAGAAATCCATCAAGGAATCCACAGAACCAGCGCCGCAGCGCGATTCGGCGCTCCAAAGCCAGCATTGCGAGCGCCCAACTCAAATTCTCTGCCATTTCAACAAAATGTATCGCAGATCGCTCCATTTTTTTTACATGAGAGCTGAGAAATATGCCTTTGCGATGACGTGAACTATCTGTGGCTGTGTGGGCCGCGAGTCAGGGAAAACCCCCAAAAACGAGTTCAAAATGCACGCGCCCGAGGTGACTCTGCTAAGCGAATTTAGTTCGAGTCTCATAACTCCGCTATCCGACCTCGGATCGCCTTCGTTTTTTTCGAGCCGATAGCTGAGACAATTCTAATGTCGATAGACCTTTCGATTATCCGATTTGGTCAAGGGACAGCCGAGTTACGCCAGGTTGCGCTTTGAAAAGTATGTACTGTACACTGGTACGGATATATCCGTACTATGGGCCTCAAAGGGTTAATTGGGAACTCGTGGCCTCGCATGAGTAATACATGGATGTGGCCAATAGGATCGAGGCCTTTGGC